ACATTATGTATGCAACTCTACTATCTGCATATTTAAATATTACTATTGCTCTTCTATGACTTTTATCACATCAGTGTATATTTTTAAAGAAATGAGAGACAGTCACCTGCAGCGAAAAGCAATCGCATGTGAATGGTTAAACCTGGGCACAGCTCGAAATGTGCATTTAAGAAAATGAATACGGCATTTGATTCCGTTTTTCAAACTTCCTTTATAAGTATTGATTTGTTTTTAAAGAATTAACTAATGAATTCAAATAAATTCGGAATATGCTATAGTTTATTTGCATAAATCACTTGGTACATTTTATTAAAGAAAGCGTTTTTGTAACGACTTTAAAAGTCAACAGTTGTTTTTACAAAATTGCCTTTGGTGCTATAAATTTATAATAATAGTAGTAAATTTACGTTGTGTGATTTATAAGTTTTAAAACTCATTTTATCGTTCATGGTTCTGATAACGAAGAAATTGCGTGAAAAGATATTTCTGTTATATACCTAGCCACAGGATTATAATTCCGATATTTAGGCCCGTAATGATCATACTTACACGGAAGTATGCATCTGTAAAGTTTCAACAAAAACGAAATTAAGCTTAAATTAAACAGAATGGTTGAAAACCTTGAATATGATAAAAATTTGCAGCCTGTTCTGCCCCTGTTGTAAAATATGTCATATAACAGTATTGCTCATTTAGTTTTAAACGAACAAAACATTCCAGCTAATGGGTGTTTATTCGTGGTGTAACAGTTCAGCTGTCCTTTTTGTACTAGAGGGTTCGAGGTTCAAATCTCAGCTACGGAAATAGGATTTTATCTCGAGATTTTTGTTCTAAAAAGGTGGAAAACTGTTTAGTATTACCATTTGTAATTCACTTAATAATAAATTATCAATTTATTCAATTTAGAAATTATGAATTTTAATTTAAAAGAATTTAAATTAATTATTTAAAAAATGTAATTTAAAATATTTTAATGAATTATCTGAATGTATATATTTTTTTAATTTTGAAATAAGTTATTTAATTTTTTAATTAATTTCTTTAAGAAAGTGTTAACAAAAGAACATTATTACATTTCTTAAAAAAAAAGATAAAATTTAAGTAATAAATTGAAAAAAGCTATTTATTACTTAACTAAAAAAACATTTCATCGTAAATGAAATCATTTCATTTAGTTGGTAATGCACTGGAATTTTGATATCAATTAAATGAAAAAACAGAAAATTAATGTAGAAAAGGGTTTAACAATGTACGAAATTTGAGTACAAGAATACACATGATTTAAATTAATAGTACGGTAAAAAAAATAATATGAAATGAATCTATACAAACACTACTATATTACAACGAATATATTAAAGGAATAACTCGAATTTCATCTCTACATTGATGCATAATATTTTATTAATTTTTTCTTAAATTCAATTTGAACTCGGCAATTAACTTAACTAAAACATACTAATTAATTAATTTATTTATAATTCTTATTTTGAATATCGGTTGCGACACTTGATTTATAATCCAAGCTTTTATACATAAAAAATAAGATATTAAGTAATAAATGTTTTATTAAAAATATATAAAAGCTGGTTATCTGGACGAAAGTTCGCATCATTTTATTATGTTTTATTTCATTAGATGAGCATGGATCACGTAGATATCCGAAAGTAACTATTGTTTTGAAGGTTAGCGAGTGATAACGATCAAGAGTCTGTATACTATTAGCATTCATATATTTTATCTACAAAATGTTATTTGTTTTTGTGAGAAATATCGGCTTTTACTAAAAAAGGAAACAATGATAAACGGGAGTTGGTGAGCACACCCTTCAACTTCTTTGAAGAGATTAAAAAAAAAAAATTCAAACTAAAAATTCTCAAACTAAAAAGTCATCTATTTTTAATACTTTCTGAGAAATTATAATACAAATCTTAAAAACATTTACAAGTTTCCAGAAGACTAAGTAAAGTAATTAACGCGTATTAATAACATTGCAATATAATGTACACCGAAGAACCATTACATTATGACCACCCTGCTAATAACATGTAGGACCACCTTTAGCCCTCAAATCTGGTACCAAGCGCTCACCAACTGGTCCTGCAATTCCCTCACATTGCAGGGGGTAGCGTGGCAGCACGAATTTGGTTTTCCAAGAAGGATTAAGGTCAGGTGAATTTGGGGGACAAGACATGACTTCAAAGTCACTGGAATGTTCCTCGAACCAATCCATGACGATTCGACCCTTATGACATGGTGGATTATCCTGTTGGTAAACACCATCCCCCGCAGGAAAAAATGTTGCCATGAATGGGTGAACCTGGTCTGCAACTATGTTCAAGTAGCTTACAGACGTCAGGGATTGTTCTATGAGGATTATGGGTCCTAATGTGCCCCATGAAAACATTGTTCCTGGGCGAGAAACCATGAAAACCTGGGAGAGCCCATTTTTGTAGATGGAGGGTGGTCATAATGTAATGGCTCTTCTGTGTATATGCATCATTATTTAAAATTACATGTTGTTATTGTTAATGTGTTTTGTTTCAAGTTTTTTATTAAATGTTCAGGGAAAAAAAATCTTCAAATACTCAGCATCAATTTAAGTTTGATATGTATAGGGGAATATAACGGGGTATTATTTTGTATTCGAATTGAGATGAAAATTTAATCCTTGTCATCGTGTGAACTAGAATTCATTTCATTATTTTCTAAAGTAATTAAAAAACCTCTAAACTTTTATACATTTTGTACTCTCTTAAAATGAATATCAATAACAAAATTCTATAAATATTTCAAAAGCAAATTGAAATATTTTTTTTAAAGTTTATTATTATTTTTGCCTTTTAAAGAAGTCTCATTTTATCCCCGAGGAAATTAAAATTATTTTTCACCATATGTTAATAAAATAGAATACAATGAAACTGCTGAAATTATATTATTAAAAATAGCTGCGTTATTAATTTTAGTTTTTATTATTGACTAGAAACTGTTCTAGATTAAAAGAAATGATAATTTCAGAAGGCAATTAACTTAAATATGATCTAAGAAATATTTCTCGTCTTTTTCTCCCTTTAGCCATCTCATTTTTCCTAAATCAATAATAATTTTAAAACTTCAAATATTTTTCAAATTAAAAGAGTGCTTTTATTTCTTTCAAAAAGAAGTAAGATGATATCAGCAAGAAATATTTTCTTGCCTTTTTCTTGTAATAAAAGAATCAGAAATTGAAGCAAAATGTTTTAATAGAGTAACAAAAGATTATATTCATTTTGGAGCACATACGTATATTTATAGTTGTAGCGATATTCTTAATTTTTCAAAATTTAAAAAGCAGATATTACATACAACTTTAAACTAATAATATTACTATAATATTATTTTTAAAAATTTTATTACAAAATATGTGCTTTTTAGCGTAAAAAATATTATTTGATGATTTTGATATTTTAAATGAGAGGAACTAATATGTATTGTATTTTACTTACTTTTCTTCTTATTACAAACTTTTACTGTGCATATTAAGTGTTTAAGTATTTTTTCAGGTATTTTATTTCATTTTATAGCCACCCAGGCGAAGCTAATGGTTGCAGGTTCAAACCCCGATCAGGACATGACAGTTTCTCTCCGTCTGATGTGTGAATGTGGCCTACCCTACGAATGTATCTGTGCCAATGTGGTGTGGATAGTGTTGTTCGTCTCCGTGACTTCGGTTCACAGGTGCTCGCCAGGTAACTTTAAACTAGTAACACTTCTGGCATTTTTCGAGGTGCAGGACGAAAAGCTCCGTGTCTGCCGTTAGAAAAAATTTTTTGTTTAATGTGTATTTTCAGACAAATGAAAAAATTTTCTGTATTGAAAGCACGCTAAAAGTAATTTCCCAGACCGTGTAAATTAATTTACAAGCTTAAATTATTTTTTAAGCATAAATGAATATAATAAATCAATTACATATGAAGGTATAATTGCTATTATAATTTTTTCTCTCATAACTTTGTATTGTGCGTAAGAAGAAAACTAAGTAAAAGAAAAGAGAAAATTAAGNACGCTAATGATTATTTCCAAAATGATGGTAAGGTAAACATCTTTCAAAAAAGAAAGAAAATCCTAAAATCTTATGAGGAAAAAAAATTTTTTTTTTAAAAATGACGGGAAAATGTATCGAATTTCTTTCCGTTTTTTTGGTTTTCCGGTTTTCTGATTTCCGGATAACGGGTTCTGTACTGTAGTATTTCACACCTGACTAAATGTCAAAACTAATTATGTATGGATCTATAATTACATACTCTTTTTATTTTTTCACAATTATTAAATTTTCTCTTTTCTTAGTGGTTGAAACCCAAAAAAAAACTAGCAAGACTGTTTTATATTTTTTTTTGTAGTTTAAAACTGCTATTTTTTTTTAATTTTGCGTAATGAGTTTCATTTTAGATGCAGACATGATTTCTAATGTAACAATTTAACAAAAATGGGGTTTATTTTAAATGGTAGGCTATTAACCCATGACAGTTTAGATGTATTTGAATTTTACTCATCAGGGTTTTAGCTGTAGCCAACAATAATTAAATTTATTTTGAAGATGATAATGAAAGGCACGGTAGCTCAGATAGAGCTTTCGCCTTCCAATGAGGCGTCCGAAGTTCGAAACCCAGCGATGGCGGAGTGATACGAATTCTGCTCCTTCTTAAGAATAGCTGGTGGATTAGAATCCCTTTGCCGTCGGTCTAACCGATGAAGATCTTTAGATCAGTTTTGGAAATTCTAACTAATCTGAAATTGGTAAGAAAAATTTAATTTGGATTGATGATAAATTTTTCCCTCCTAAATTTCCTTATTACTAACTCATGTTTTTGAATTTTTTTTAACATTTCTTTATTATTAAAAGAAATAAATGTTTCCATTGAGTTGACATTTCTTGCTAAAAGACAATAATCTTACAAATTTACAGGACATTTTTTTAATAAAAAAAAAAAGAAACAGTAAATTTTTTTCACACTTTAAAATAAGTGATAATCAGTTATTTAGTTTTATTGTTTATTTGTTACATAAATTTGGGGGGAAAGTTTGAATACATAATGAAAATATAAAAGCACAAACTAGTAAAATTCAATAAATAACAATTAAAATTAATGATGCATGCACAAGCTATCAGATTTACAAATGAAATTGATGACAATAAATAAAATATGATTTCAATAACATGAAAATTACAATACATATCCTCAACACTTAGATAACACAATAAATCACTTAATAATGACGATAATCCACAGATAGATTAAGTACTTCACATAACGTATGTACAGTAACATTGAATAACATCACAATTGTATGAAATGGTTTTAAAACATCAAACAATGTTTGAACAATTCGCACCAAAATGGTCAGGAATTTTTAAATAATGAATTTACACTTTGAAAGAGTTATAAGTTTTTATTAAGCATCGCGAGGGATTCAATTTTTATTTAAAATTTGGGAATATTTTTCTTAATAGATTTTTTTAAAACAAATTGCAGATGTTTTTTATTTAAACATTTTGATACACTACAAAGCTTACACATCTTTTTAATTTTAAATGCAAAATATTCTGCATAATAACGATACAAGGAACATAATAATAATATAAAGTGTGTCAAAAAAGTTTGGCAAATGAACAGATATCGCAACGTGAGTCAAAAATTGGGCCATGAGCCAGTGCATGGAGAGACCTATAGAGAGATATTTATTACAGCATATGACAAATATAGCGTGTAATTGATGCAAATTAATCCGCTACGAGTATTCGAATAGCGAGTGCGCAAAAACCTGACTCAAACTGAAATGGAGCAATAGATAATCGTACTGCTTTATTAAAAAGGGGTTAAACAGCCTCAAGAAAGTGTAAACGAAATAAGTTCGGTGAGAAGAAAAGGCATTTATGTTTGGTTTTGGCCGAAGCCACGCACTTTTTCTAATTTGTACCCTGGACACAATCAGCTACAACCAAGTTTTCTCCCTTCATGCCACGTGACACACGTTCGGTGACCACAGCTTAGAAGGGTTTAATATTGAAATCGTTGAAAGCTGGGATGATTGCCCACATGACTTGAAGAGATCTCTCCACGTTAAGAGTTGACAGTTTTCTTTGGAATTTGGGAAGCCTTATTTTTCAATTTTTTTTCACGGTATTTTAATGGCACACCAGGCTGCAACGAATGCCTGAAAACTTGCTTGTATTCCAACTTTCCGATCTGGCACGTGATCCTATCATATTTTAAAACCTCCTTCTCATGTTCAATTGACGATCGGAATTGGCGTCAGGTGGCGCAAAGCAGAACTCTTTACCTAAGGCAGCACTAAGCATGCATTCACTATTAGCATGTGGATAGTCATGTGAGGAAGAAGTATAATAGTTTCTGTTTTAATTTAAAATCACTTAAAAATTTTTAATATGGAAGTCTGCACGGAGGGAGGCTCTAAACATGGAACCGGTATTCTCCCCAGATGAAGTATTCGAGTGTTGGAATCGCGAATTTAAACGGCACGTGACCGGAAATCTTCGAGGATAATATCTAACGAGTGTACGGGGCTAGCGTGGACGTTAGGTAGAGCGCATGTACTTGAACGATTTTGCACTGGAAACTAATATCCCATTAAAATAACGAATCGAAAGATAAAGCCTACATTTAATTACGAAACTACGGTAAATTTTTATCTCTTTGTCCGTCCACGCAGTACGGGGTTATGTTGCCCTTTTTTGTCATCTGCTATGTAAAAGAGAGAGAAACACAGCCGATTTGTACTTACAAGCCATTATTTATCGGACACCTAATCGATGCAGGAATTATTTGCTTGTGGGAGGCCTTGAATCTGTTTGAGGTTAGGAATGCGTGCCAGATTACTCGTGGTTTCAAAATTGCGAAATGGAAATAGAGCTTGCCTTTGGCCTTAAATATTTTCTTTAACTATTTCCGGATCATAATTTGACAAATATAGCAGCTGAGAATATCGAGTGAATCAGACCGATGTAGCAGCAAGATTGCCGAGGGGCATCGAAAGGCAAATCATTCAAGCAAGATCTGTTTTCATTTTGATCAGAAGTGCGACAACTAAACTCGAATCTATCAACGCTCTATCGGTAATTTCAAAAGTGTTCAGGAGCAAGGTTAATTTCTGGGTTTAAAAAGATATTTTATCTCCAAAATTTGCTTAATGGTTTCTTTGCCAAACTTTTTAAACTAATTTTGTATAAAAGAGAACTCCATTTTAATTGGATGAAGGAAAAGTCCACTCCTTTTCTGATGGATAAAGAGTTAATCGTTTTACCTAATCAACTTCAGTACTTTTCTGGATTAAATTCGTGAGGGAAAACGCAGTATGGATTTACATACAACAATTTACAGTTAATTCTTTTTAAATAAAGAGTAATCGACTCACGAAATTCGATATTCAAGAAGTGAATATATTCTTAGCCACTCCATTGTATATAATCATTCTTTTTTTCCCCATTAACTGCTTAATTGTTTTGATGCTTTTTTTAAAATGTTATGATCGTAAATAACAATAAAAGTAATAGTACCATTTTTGTTTCATTTCACATTAGTTAAAAAAGGTCTAAAAATATGTTTTAAGAAAATATTTCAAAAAAAAAAAATCCTTAACCATAACGCTGTAATTGGCTTACACTCACAAAGCTGTAATGTAAGTAGAGAACATACTTAAATATAAATTTTGCTCTCAAAAGGAAACCACGTGACAGGAGACGAATGGAGAAAGAAATTTTCTTCCTTCCGTTTTTCCTTGTTATATCAGTGGAAGAAAATCGATAAAGAAAAATTAAAGTCAAAAATCTTAAAATATGGTGGTGTACTGTACCATTCTATTTTATTCCATTTCACTGCTTTTAAAATCCAAATTTATATTTTTAAAACTGTTTTACAAATAAATATAAGAGAATAAGAACATGACTTAATCATAAGTAATGATTACATAGAACTATTTATCAGTAATACATCATTTTTTTTTTAAATTTTAGTGCTAACATGAAATAGGCGAAGTTTCAGCGACATAGTTATTTCCTTCCATCTTTGTTTATTTTACCTAATTATTTTTCTTATTTACTCCCTCTAATGTGAACGAATTTTTTTTCTTTATATTTATTTTAAACTTTAGTATCTTGCTTAAGGCTAGTTTTGTTTATAACATGCATTTGCTCCGACAAAAAAGGGATTAGGAAAGATTAATATAATATTTCTATAGAAATGGAATAATTCAAATCCAAGAGAATATCTTCGTGAAAGATTGGGTAACAAATGACATCTGGTGATATTGCTTTCCAAATATCTCTGATTCATAAATATATTTGCAAGTTTAATAGTATGATTATGATCTTGTGAAATACAACAAGATACTTCAAAATTGAGAATAAAAAGATACATGAAATGAAAAGCTTTCATAGACAGTAGATTACTACATCTAGCTTTAAAAATAGTTGCCAAAATCATGGTACGATATGCCCATAGTTTGATCGCTTAAAGATCATTGGCTTTTTATATGAATTGCAGCAAAGATCTTCTAGTTTAAATAAATTGAACATCTAATTGCTTCACTTTTTTCCTGGATGAGTATTATTGCATGCAGGGTTGTTAAGCATACTAGAACTCTTCAGCATTAATGACAAAATTGCTTATTTCATGACTAATAGACTCTCGGAAACATTTGTCTGAACTATAATATCAATACCCAGAACCTGTAAATTTGCTGCAACTTTAATGAGGCGTTAAATTAAACCAAATTTCTCTTCCATTTGAACCATAGTTTCATGGAATCAATATTTAAAGTGTTCAACGTTATGGTTCGACTTCGAACCATAGTAAGGTAGCAGAAAACTTCAACGATGTTATGGTTTCCCGTGAACCAATATTTCTAACAGTGTGTAACCGATCTATAAACAGGTAAGAATGGCTTTAATAATAAATATTAATAAACTTTTTTCTACTTCGAGTATGGCAGTAAAATACTGAGAGAGGGAATAAAATACTTGTATAAAATTATAACAGCTAAAGATTCCAATTTCATTCATATTTAGATCTTTTGATTTAAAATTTTGAGCAATAGTTTCATTTGTAGCATATGCTCTCATAAATAAAAAAGTTTTTCTTCACTATTGCTAAATAACATGCACAAATCTGGTTAGAAATTGCATTACTTTAACAGCTGTGAAATATTTAAGTGTATATCAATCAATTGCGAGTACCAAAGTTTAGAAATTTGCAATGCATTAAAAACTGCATGAAATCAATGCATCCAATAAATATCATTCCATTATATTATATTAAAAATAAACTAAATAGAAAACTAATCGGGTTGTAATTTGACGAAGAATTTAACTGAGGAAATGTATCTAAAAGATGATTTTGCCACAATTTACATTTTTGGCAGTTTGCCAATCATCTGACTGTGGTGAGCTAAATCTACTTAAACGGACATTACAGGTCTTTGCTGCTGCAGTGATTACCAAACATTTGAAATAAGAAGTGTAACAAAAGAGGATTTTTACAAAGGACGAATTCGACATAAACTATACGTAAGACAGGGACCTCATTTGCTGATACCAAATCTCAATCCCTTTCCAGCAATCCTAATCTGTCGTTGTCTTCGTGCCTTGGCTATGGCTTTCAACATGTTTACAAGCTGAGCGGCAGTGTAGTCGCGTTTATTAACTCCACCTGTTAAAAATAGAAAATATTAAAAGCTATTCAAAACTATTGGGCGAAATTAGGAAATTTTGCTACTGGTGAGTTGGAACATTTTTAACAGTGGTCATTTCCTAAAACATGTAGAAACGTTTTCAAGGATCAGAAATTTTAAACGATTAAAAGAACTGCTGATATTAATAGTGTAAGGCATTTCTTTTTAAGCATTTCTCAAAATACGGTTCATTTCTAAAATGAAAATTTTAAGAAAAAAGGTCTAAAGGAGTTTTGCAAATATTATTGAATATTCACAACAATTCCATATTAATTAAAAAAATAATAATAATGGGGGTCCAGTTTACTATCAATTTCTTTCAGTCTCAGATAAAGAGCCCCGATGGCTCAGGGGATAGAACGTTCGTCTTCCAATGAGGTGAACTGGGTTCGAATCCCAGCAATGGCTAGTCAATACGAATTCCACATCTGGTTTACACCGACCCCAGTGCTGACGTGAAATATCCTCACTGGTAGACGGATCATGGGTTAGAGTCCCTTTGCCATCAGGCTAACCGTGGGAGGTTTTCGTGGTTTTCCTCTCCAAGTAACGCAAAAGCGAGTTAGTTTCATCAAGAAGTCCTCCAGGAAGTCAAATTTCTTCTAATACTTGATCCAAGAGTTCCCTTGTCTTTTGCATTGGGTTAAAAATTACTAGACTACTTAGTTGAACATTAGTAGTCGTAAACCCAAAAATTGGGTCAGCTGTTCACAGCGACTGTTATAAAATAAAACAAAATCTAAGAGTAAACCTATATTTTTAGATTGAATATTAATTCTTTTATATATTAATTCTTTTATATTTCTTTTATATATTANTCCTCCAGGAAGTCAAATTTCTTCTAATACTTGATCCAAGAGTTCCCTTGTCTTTTGCATTGGGTTCAAAATTACAAGGCTACTTAGTTGAACATTAGAAGTCGTAAACCCAAAAATTGGGTCAGCTGTTCACAACGACTGTTATAAAATAAAACAAAATCTAAGATTAAACCTATATTTTTAGATTGAATAATAATTCTTTTAAATTTCTTTTATCTATTAATTCTTTTATATATTGAATATTAATTCTGTTTTAGACTGATCCTTCATTCTAGAATGAAATCTTAATTTCTTTCCATTTATTTAAAGTTGGAGTCTTTATTCTTAAAACAGCTCAATTAATAATAATGTGCAAAGCTTGAAGTTTATTTATTTATAATTTTTTTAAAGAAAAAGTAGAAGAAAAGATAAAATTTAACCAAATAAATTAAAATTCATATTTCATTGTTATCTCGCATATTTACTTTTTCTTTAATAGTGTTTAGTTATTTTTAAAATAATACTGACCAGTAATATAGCCGTCCAATGAATCAGTATCATCAAAGAATGGTATATCTTCCACAGGTCCACTCTTATAATGTGGGAAACGCTTTTTCCACCAATAAATATTATCTAGAGCAGAAATATCAGTAGGCACAAAACCATCTATAATGAAAAGTAGAGAAGAAACTTCAATTACGTTTAGCAACTCATAAAAAATTACATACAGGTATTATTATCAGAGCTAGAATGTTAATGACCCAAAAATTCTTAAAAAGTTGGAAGAAAAACTTAAAAATATAAATTTGAACGAAATTAACCTTAAAATAAAAAATAATGTCCTTAAAAAATTTCGAAAATAAACTTTATACTGGCTTTTTTTCTAAAATAAAAATAAATCGTAAGTTTTCGCAACTTGGTAGGAATTAAAATAAATATGTAATTTGTAAATGAAAACCTGATAAAGATAGTTAGAATTTTTTCAAATTTTGGTTAATATCTACCAGAATAACAGAATTGCATTGTGTATCAAATGTTCTTTTTAGAATTCTTCGAATTGAAAGATTGCCTATCATCCAAAAGGAACTTCTTCAGATTTGAAAATCTCTATTCAACATAAAAATATGTTATCGGAGGATTATGGAATTCATAAAATTGAAAGGAAAATTTATATTAAATTATATGGGAAAAAATAATTCAAAAGCAAAGCAAACTTAAAAAATCATTCAAATTTCATAAAAACTATTTAAGGTAAGAAAAATCAAAAAAGTGCAAAAAAATTTCATTCTTTATAAGGATGTTAAATGTTGTATAATTTATAGTTAAAAAATTTTCCCCTTTTATTAATTAAAATAATATTTACTATGATATTTATTAATTTATATATATTTACTAAAAGTTATATTTTGCATGGAATTATCTTCCGATAAACAAATTTCATAATTGTGTGCAAAAATTTTTTATTCGACTTATAAAATTCTCAAGATATGGTGAAATACGCACAAAGTAAAATTAATATAAAGAGGCACAAACTTTCAACCTCTCATTTGACCAAACTATTGGGACGGACCATATTATGGCTATCCCCTATAATTAATTTGTCGAAAAAAATGTGTCTTTGTGTCTGTCTGCAACTTTAAATATCGTCTGCACTAATTAATTAGCTATTTAAGCTCACCCCGTGAATCCATAAAGATTGAATTCTAGAACGTGAGGTAACGATCATTAGATTAAAACTTATTTTTAGTGGTCCGTTTCTTTTTTGTAGAAAATTGTAGCTTTGGGAACAAAACTAATTTCAAATTTGAAATTGATATTTAACCATTATTTATTTTCCATTTTTACCCTTGGAACCTTTGAGTGTTCATTTCCAAATCTCTTCTATTTTTCCTCATACACGCCGAGAAATTTTTTGGAATGGATGCCTATTTTTGACCACTCGGAACATGTCAACTTTTTATATCTGTGTAATTTTTCAAGTAAAGTAAGTTTTTATGCTATAAGAAACACTACCTTTTCATTTCATTCCTGGCTAGAATTATTAAGCATTTATATTGAAAGTAGTCATTACGGAACACCGTTGACGTATAAATTCAATCTTTTCTTAAAATAGCTACTCTTTGTTGCGAATAATCGATATAATTTATGTCATCATTTCCATAAATTAGTCATTAAGTTGTCAAAAACTTAAAATGTTATGTTATTAAGCTTTGAGTTACTAGGTTAACGAAAATATAAATTTTGGCAAACTCTTAGAAGTCGTTTTTGTTTTATCACGAAAAAATTATGATGATTATACTCATCTTTAGAATTAAGTTTATAATTAAAGATTAATCACAGATTTGATCAGGTTACCATGATTTTTATTTTATTTTATAACCGGCGTTCAATAGCTGATGCAATTCTGAGTTTAAGATTATTAATAGCTTTGAACCCGATCCAGAAGACAAGGGAATTCCTAGATTGGAACAAACTAGCCTTCATGAACGACTTTTTGATGGCACTAACTCTCATTTGTGTTACATGGAGAGAAAATCCATGAAACCTCCCACGGTTAACCCGACAGCAAGAGTATCCAAATCAATGATTCGTTAACCACTAAAGAAATGTACGTCAGCACTGTGATCGGTACTAGCCGGATACAAAATTCCTATCTTCCATCCAGAGCTGGAATTCGTAGCTGGATCACCTCATTGGGAGACGAACGCTCTATCCCCTCACTCATCGCAACTCAGTTTCCTGCGGTTTTATATTTTATTTTAAAACCACTGTTTAACAGCCAACTCAATTTTGAGTTTACGACTATCAATGTTCAACTCTGTAGTCTTGTAACTTTGATCTCAAAACAGAAGACAAGGGAGCTCCTACATCAAGCATTGGGATAAACTAGCCTTCAAGGAGGACATTTTTTTAAGTGAACTAACTCGCAATTGCGTTACATGGAAAGGAAAATCAAGTGAAAACCACTATTAGACCAACAGCAAGGGGACTCTAAACCATGATCCGTGTACCACTGAAGATATTTTACGCCAACACTGTGGTCAGAGCGAGCCAGGAACAAAACTCGTATCAACCAGGTACAGCTGGGATTCAAACCTGCGGCATCTTAATTATAGGCGAAAGCCTTGAATAAAAGTGGAAATAAAAAGTGCGTGCCTTACCTTGGAAACTAGAGTAGACTGGAAACTGTGGCCTAAATTCTTTTTTGAGATTGCTTACATCTGAAATAAGATTAGATTAGAAAATTAGATTTTCTAAACAAAATGAGCTTTGTCATTTACTTAAATCTTACATTTGCAATGATTAGTTTTGTCTTCCATTGAATAGCACGGTAATATTTCATCAGGAAAAAAAACATCACTTCAGATGGTCTTAGTTTAGATTTAAAGTGTAAGATTAAGATTTGTTTTAGAGAATATAAGACAAAAGGAAATCATGTTAAAGTTAAAATAGCAATAAGAAGATTAAAAAACGAAATAGACATATATTTCTCTTTTTTTTAATAAACAGCTGTTTTACTTAAAATAAATATTTAGAGTTGACTGCTTTTGTCTACAGTCTGTAGACTGAATCACGCAGCTCTGAACCTTGAAAGGCAGAAATGCTTAAGAATCGAATGTTTGAACAACAAGTTTTCACACCATAGCAATTTTTTGAAAGAAGAAAATAAAACAATGTGCCTTTTGATGTCATTAATAAGAGTAAATGTTGATTTTAATAGTAAGTTATCAAGGAAAAAAATAAGGATGATAACAGATATGTGGTCCACAGATGGTGTATTTATTTTATTTTTTTATTGAAATTTGTGGCAAGATTTTCCAAAAACAAAACTTTTCTTTCTTCTTTATTTTTGCTCTGTTATAAGGAAGATTACTTAGCCGGTTGGTCGCCTATACATTCAAAATTGTAAGAAAAAAATTATGCTCGCTTTCCTCTTTTCTAAATTGATATCTAAAATTGATAAATATGTCTGCCATTTAGCTGTTTCGTATACCATACTCATTCTTACACAGCATAAAAATACATTTCCATGAAAACATTTTTCACTTTACCCATAGAAGCAGATGGGACTCCAGAGTAATTTTGATATATATATTTTTTTGATGCTGTAATTACAAGTAAAATATATATTGGAAACTTTTAATTATAAAAAAACAGTCTAATAGTTACTAGAAAATATCTGTTAGATTATCAGAATTATAATTTTACCAATATACAAAATAAAAATGTTTGAATTTTTTTTCATTCACAATCAAAAATTTATTAATAATTCATTTTGTAAATTAATAATCTTTCTATGAAGAATAGTTGTTTCTCTTAGACATAAATAACTGCAAAGAAGTGCAAATTTTAAAAACTTATTGTTGGAAGTGAGCGATGTTTGCAAGATTTTACCTTTAACACAGAAAAAGACACCGGCGTTTTCATAACCATAAAGTATTAAAATGCTAAATGTAATATTTTTACTTATTTTGACCAAAATCAACAGAAAATAATTAAAAAGTATGAAACATATGTTTAATAAAAAATTTGTGTCAAAGGATTAACAGCGGAAGGTTAGTAATTTTTAACTCGCTTGAAACATACCTTTTTTTGAATCTTTAATATTAACATTTTGGTAGTGACTTTAGAATTTGTCGTCCTATCAGAGTTTTGTTATATACCCTACACGCTATATCAAGATTTTATTGCTCTTGAAATACAAGCTTCAGGTGTAAAATTTCAATCATAATACTGATGAAATAGTAACAACAATTTTTGTTAATTTTTTTTTCATTTGAAATTAAATACAAAGAGCCTACATTAGAGGTAATTTGTAAATTTCAACTTAACAGAAAAATTAACCTTCAAAGAGCAAGAGAAAAAAAATACAACATTGTAATTTAAACTATGTTTCAGTTAAGAAAATTTTTAACATAGCAAATATATATTGTTGGATATCATAAATTTTTATCATATAAAAATTTATGATTTTTATCATAATTTTTATAAGAAAATTAAACAAAATTTTTAAAATCAACCTTTTTAAATAGTCAGTTTGCATTACTATTAAATGTTGAATCATATAATTATTAAATTACATTAATTTTGAAAGATGTGTCATAAAAAAAGGGTTTTATATTATAATTGAAGCCAAAATTTAAATACGAAAAAAAATTACAACTCATAAATTAAAAACATTAAAATTACCAATTCAGAAAGAAATTTTTGAGAGTTAATAATTAAATTAAGAAAATAATTGAGATCAAAATTAATATCTTGCTATCATTTTCTTATATCTTTACAAAAATAAATGTCACGGTAATTCATAAAAACTGTTTATTGTGATAAAAGTAATTTTGATTCCTTTAGTTTCAGCTTTAATTTAACATTTATGACACAAAGAATCATAAATTGATATCTAAAGCCCACGTTGGTTTAAAAGTTAATTAGTTTAATAGTAGCTTTTAAAAAAATCAGCAAATTCCAAAAGCATTTTTTCATTGAGGAGCATTTTTATGTAACTTTAATTAAGAAAGCCAACTTCAAAGAATTCTGATAGCTATTCATTTTCTTAACGTAATTTTTACAGAGAAAAACAAATATCAAAAAGAAAGATTTGTGCAAAATTGTCTGAAGGATTGTCTGAAGCGGCATTAATATGTTTCAACAGATTGAAGAAATAGCAACAACAAAAAACACTGAAATTATATTTTCTGAATCACTTTTAAGAGACCCAAAATGAAAGATGTCTGAATTACAAATTATTTTCTAGCATTTTTGCTAATAACCTTACTTTCAATGTACTATTTTTTTTAAAATTTAATCAAGCAAATTGTAATTTGTGCTGTTATTTTTCATGTGAATTGGTTAATTATTTTTATTTATTTTAAAGTTTTAAATCCTTTTTAAAAAAATTCCTGAAAATTTATGGGAATGCGAGCAAATTATCACGTATCATGTTACTTAGTTATTTTAAATGGGCCATATCTTTCGCAGGCCAATAAAGTTGCATAAACCTATAAAAAATATAAAAACTTACTTGATAAATTAAAAACTTCATTTCTTAACAAAAAATATGAAACTTATTATAAAATAGATGTTTCATTTCATTTTATTTTCCACTTCATTCTCCACTGCAACAGACTTTTTAGTTTTGTTTATCATCTTTTTTTTTATATTTTTCTTTGGCAACTTAACGATTTTCGTTTTAAATCTCTTTTGTTTTCCTCACTCACGTCTAACGAGTCTTGAGAATGGGTGCCTATTTTGAGCACTCGAAGCATATCGACTTTTATAACCATTTTCATATTTTTTCAAGAAAATGATGTTTTTATGTTATAAAGTATATCTTTCTGTTTCAATTTCTTGTGATTCTTCATATTTAATAAGATGACATCTTAACTTTTAATTATTGCACAGTAAACACTCTTTATTTTGAACTGTAATTTTTTTCATTTATTTTCCTCTCTTAGAAATTCAATTCAGTGTTGAACCATAATATTATTACTTCTAAGCATAATAGGGTGCAATAGGTACTTAATAATGTGTAAAACGACACTGTGCTAATATATTCATATATAATTGCTTTAAAAAATGTTGACTTTGTATAAGAGTTTAATACATCGAGAAAAAAGTAGGGTCGAAACTACTAGAATATGGTAACTTTTATTGTGTTTCTGTTTCTATGGAAAAACCAAAAAAAATTTTATTTTTCACCGAAGCGATTTGATAAGGACTTTTGGAGAAATTAACAATAAAATAAGGTTTTTCAATCTGCTATGAAATTTGGTATATTATGGTAATATTTGGTAATTTTACTGTCGCACTTTAGAGCATAGCATAAAAACCATTTATTCGATTAAATTTACTTTTCAGTTTTGTATTTTTTCTAAAGTGTGATATTAAGAAATATAATTTTGAAAACCAGAACTTCCAGTGAACCGTTACCATATGAACGGAAAGATAGCAAAATAAGTGGTTTAAATACCGCATATTTTGGTTTTATTAACCAGAATTATGGATTTTTCTTTCACCAGAAATATCATTACCATATGGTATGATAAATTTACTAAAACTTTTTTTTCGTCACGTAACTAACTACACCTCATTCACTCAAGTTTACGTCCCATATTTTTACAAAAACATGGGAGGTGAACTTGATTTATGTTGATCATATTTTTGCAAAAAATCACTCTTAAATTTTTGAGAAAGATTATTTATTTATTGATAGTTTGCACATTTTATCCTTTTTTTTTAATTAGTTTAGAATATTTATCACTTAAATAGACTGGTTTTCTTCAAGTGTTTTTTAGTTTATGCTTTTATTATAAATTTTTTTAGAATAATTTTATACATAAAATTAATTTTTTTAATCATACATTTTAAACATAAGCAATCACTTATCTATACGGCAAAATAATTTTTGTCTTAAATATAGACCATGAGCATTTTACCACTTCAGATTTAATATTGTAAATTAGATCATCTATATTAGTTTTGAGCAAAAGGAACTTAATAAAGAAAATAAAGAAATAGTATCTTATTTTATCACCTGATTATAGTATCTTATTGTAGTATCTTATTGTCATACGGTAATATTGTTACAATAGTATCTTATTATAGTATCTTATTGTCATACGGTAAAAAATATTGAAAATGTTTTCAATTTTTATGATAAATAATTCATCTCGGCGGAACAGGTTAATGATGATTCTAAACGTCATTTAATTAGTAGTTTTCTGGGAAATGTTTAAATATTTTAAAACTCCATTTCAAAAAGTGGTTTCATTTTTTCAAAATACTATGACTTGTTTTAATGGATAACATTTTAAATTAATCAATATAGTAGTCTAAAAATTTAATCTGATTTGAAGAAAAAAAATTGGCTCTAATAAGTAGATAAATTAAAACTTACCAGGAATATCATTGACTCGATAATCAGATGAGCTCATGAAATTGCCTTTATCAGAATAGTCATCTGAAAAAATAGAGTGTATTTAAAAGCATAATTTTTAAGTATAATAACAACTAAATGGTATAGTTAACAACAACTATATGGTATAGTTATTTTTGATCATATTATGCAGAATATGAGAAAAACGATAGCCCCAATTTGAATCACTTCATGTAATTTTATTTTTAAATCATAAAAAGTCCCGTGTGGTATCCTGTATTGTGAAGTAGAGAATAAAAAAAAATTACATAAGAAAAAAATCATAGTACCTTTCAACTATAAATAAAAAGTCGAACTTATGCGTCTTTTTTAAGCAATAATTGTGTCAAACTATTATGTACTTACTATTATACTGTATTTTAATTTTAGCGCATGTTTTCAAATACAATTTTGCTATGGATACTAAATCTGAACATAATGTTTAAACGTACTATTAAGGTTTTTATGTTTACGATTGTGAAAAATGAATTAAAAATGAAATATTTGTGTATTTGGTACATTAGTATAACATATTTGATTTATTACTATAATATATTTTATCGATGAAATTGATATAACTTTTACTTAGATCCGCATGAAGTAAGTGTGCAAAATTCAATTTTACAGCAACTGGCTCTATTAAAAATAAAAGATTTATTTAATGTACTTATAACGAAGCGAAACTTGTGATTTTTTGTTCATAAACACTCAGTAAAAAACGATTTTAACTGAATTTAAAAACCTGTAATTTAAAGTTATTCTAAGGAAATAGATATAGTGTCCGTCTTATACCAGCAACAAATAATATTCTAATAGGGAAATAAGTTGTTTTTTTTTAATTTCGTGATTGAAAACTGACCTTAAATTTAAGCAACTATATTTTAAAATTTTTCTCAAATACACATTTTATTATATAAATGTTACGTCATCAAATATAATTTCAATTTTTCCTCACTAGTAAGATTTAAATATATGAGCCTCCACTTTCCAAAAATGCGGTTTCCAATGTAGATATATGATGAAACAATGTAAGTAAATCTACGCAGCACTTATCTGTCGAAAACCACGTACTACTTTTGCTAACATACACACGCCTCTAAATAAATTCTTGTTTGAATTAGACAAGTCTGACGTCATAGCTGCCCTTTTAATGGAATTTTCCAAGATACTATCATATTTTCCTCTACGGTTGACACACGTTATTGTACAACAAACCAGCGATGCATACTCTAACTGCTTAAAAAGAATAAGAAAGGGACATGTAAGTCATTTTAGATAAAATGAGGAATTATATTCCATCAAGACTTAGCTACAAAAGGTTGTTTGCTTGCCTGAAAACGTCAGTGGCAATAATTCACTTCATTTTGTAGGTTGTGTATCATGCAAATTTATCAAGCACTCTGGTGCCCAAGGAAGTGTGAAATTAATAAAAACAAAGTTTTATTGTTCAGCGTATTGTCTGGCTAAATTTTTATGTGTTTCCTCGTGTACGCAGATATTAGTGTTTTAACCGGTTAATGCTTTACTTTGCTTTTAATAAAATTACTTTTGAATTAGATTTCTTTACTTATTTTTCTGTATTTCAGTTATTTAAAATACACATACTTAAATTTTAGTTTTAAAACTAGTTTGAGTTCTTCCTTGATTTTATTTGGGGAAACTCCTTTTTCAATTAGATTTTTTCTCGTATTTTTCTGCATTTTTTAATCATAATAAATGAATTATTTAATCAAAATAATAACGAAGGAAATTTCACGTAGCACGCGGATACCAACACGAACACAAAGATAAGTAACGTAACACTAAGATAAATAGAAGTATTGACGTCTCTCCATTGAGCACAAATATATTTCGGGTTTAGATTCATTCTCTTGCAACGGAATTTTAATAAAATGTTAATTTGCTTATACGTGGGGACAAAAGTCGGATTTTTCACTGCAGTGGCATCTATGAACTTTCCAAGGACTATTTTCGTAATATTATCCAAGCTCAAATATGGTTTATTATATAATTAAAAGACAACACAAACTAAAAATAATTACATGAAAATATCTCGTCAATCGAGCTGAATTTTTTATTACAAAGTATCTTTGAGAATAAAAATTTTAAAAAAATTTGTTGTTTTTTTTTGTCTTGTTGTCTTTTGTTTTAGGTATACGTTTTATTCAAATAATTTCGAAAGGATTATTAATTTTCCACCAACGAGTCATCACAATGTATTTGTCAGAGTTTCTGCATTGGTAATGCATTTAAAGAGGCATTTCCGACCAAGCAGTCTCCCCTCTCCGCCAAACGTTATTTAAAATGAATATATATATATATATATATANNNCTAGCAACCAAACAATTTTTAGCATTTAGTCCTGTCTTTTCGTCTTATTTTTATAACGTTTCATTACATTAAACTGTTTATTACACTTAATAACCATGAATTCTGGTGAATGCAAAACAATTCAATGGTAACAAACTGATAATTCTTTCTGTTATGATAAACAAGTAATTACACGTATTGGATAGACATATAATTACTGAATTCTTGTGATTCATGTTTGATTTAAAGTAAAAAAAGTACTGGCATTATTTATTGATAGAAATACATAAAATCAAATTATATAAATTGACTTATAATGACATATCAATCATACTTTAAAAAGTTTGACATCAATTTAAAATTACATTAGATTTTCTAAAAACATGCGATACTACATTTTATATTTGATTTTAAACTATAATTTTGGAGTAGGCTCTAAATAATAAATATAAAAGTACCAAAAAAAAGCTGTTTAAGATTTTAGATACTAATATTCATTGTGGCGGTTAAACTTGAACCGTAGCTCTCTCCCCCTCTTCCCCCATAAAAAAAAAAGAAAATACTGCTCAGAATGATTTAAAGACAATTTTTTTTCGATTTTTGTTCCACTTCATGAAAAATATTCTTTTTATTTAGAAAATTGCATATGTCGTCTGATGTTTGCGTTCCCAAGAATGACATTTACGGCGGTGAACTTTACAATAGGTTGTTAGTTTCTTAAAGCAAAAAAGTACACGTTTTTGATAAATTCTTTGAATCTTGCTTTTTATGCAAGACATTAAAATATAAAGAAAATTATTCAGTTAAACAATATACATATATTGTAAGTTCAGGAAATACTGTTATTTAAATTCCTAAGGTATAAAACGTACTTATACATAACCATTACTTAAAAAAAAGACATATATTTTTAAATTTTATTAGTTAAAGAATATTTAATTGTTAAAGAATAAATAGCTCCTGCACAAAGAAAAAAAAAGTATAAAAGTATGATCCAAACTACCAAAAAAATTTTAAAATATACCATGTTTCTGGATTTCTAGGAACAACAAAAACTCGGTAATTTTTACAGAAGCACTTTCTCAAGGATTTTGGCATGAATAACAATAAAATATAGTTCTGTAACAGGTGATAAAATTTGGTAAATGTGGTAAAACTTGGTAATTTTATCATGATACCTTAGATTATGGCATAAGAACCATTAAATGTATTTTTCAGTTTTGTAGTTTTTATAAAATGCGTGATAATAAAAATTACAATATTGAAAACCAGAATTTCCGATGAACCGTTATCTTATGAATGGAAAAATCACGAAATGAATTACTTAAATACCATATATATATATATATATATATATATATATATGTGTGTGTGTGTGTGTGACGGAGGTTTTGTTTCTCCGTCAGTAGCCGCCAATATTTGTATAGTGGAATTCATGATTGGTCATTTAGGCCAATACTGAATGAATTACACAATTAAGTCTCCAGGAAACAATATATATCTCGTTAAAATAAAAAAAAGCTTAAGTAATGAAAGATATTTTAAAAGGATAGAAAATAAATATGTAATGCCAATTGTGGCATCACAAGATATATATAGATTTTAATTAATTATGGTTCTTTACTGCACAGTGCATCAAATTTACCAAAGGTTTTATCTTCGTGTAAACTTTTAAAAATGTTTCATATTAATTAACTATTTTTGCTGGTATGAAAAATATATTAATCGAAAGAACTTCAGCTTCTGTAACCGATAGTCGATAGTCAATAAAAATTGAATATCAGACCAATATCACAAATATACGGTTGTAATATTCTAGATTATTTTAAAATAAACTTAATGACCACCTGACACAAAAGTACAATAATTCCTCAGACGCAATATAACAACTTAAATCTACATAGAACGATACAGTAAGATTAAAAAATACAGCTAATTAAAAATTTTGCATTAGTTTAAAAAGAAATGTAGGAATCTAAATTCAAATTAATTAGTTAAATTATACTTTTTTTTAATTAATCTACTTACAAAAGTGTAAATTTTGCAATTCAATATTATAATAATCATGTTATAATTGGATGCTAATATTGGAAAATAATAAATTTAAAAAAAAATAATAATACTATAAAATGAGAAAAAACTAGGTCTAGATATAAAACTTTTTAATAATTAGAATTTAAAATTACTCTGCTCTGCAATTAACGCTATTTTTATTACTGATGAAAGACTAATTTGTCATTGAAAAATAATTTTTATGATCTACTAATTAAAAAGTTTGAATTAAAAAAAGGAATTGACACCACACTTTAATTGATACCTTTTTTTATATTTTCGTAACTGCACAAATTAAATATTTTATTTCATGATTATAAAGATATTTTTTGCATCGACTTCGCCCAAATATTTTTCTTCTCTTTAATTATCTTTAATTCCTTTTCAAAGTAGTGTCAATTGAAATAAGTTCTTAAAAGTTGATGTAGATTTTTACTCTATCATCCTGATACTACGCTGAATTAATGAAGGCAATAATTTTAAGGGAAATTAAATGCCTGCTTTAAGGTTTAGAGTACTTCAGATTCCAAATACCATCTTTGAGCAATAATTGAAAACTAAAAGGAATGATTCCAACTAAAATGAACTCTTTTAAATTTAATAAAAACTTAATTCTTAGTTTAGAATTTTGAAAAGAATTTTTACTCCCATTTTATTAACCGAATTTAAATTAAAATCGTTT